TTCCTTCACATAGTGCATCACTGTGTGGTACGGAGGCTACCTAATCAGGACAGCTCTTCTGTCTGAACAATAAGCTCAGGATAACCAAACATCCTGGGACTAGATGGATAGAGAAGAACATGTCTGTGAAGCATGGATGCAGCAGGGAAAGCGGTGAAGGTGTTGATGGTGAACAGCTAAACAGCAACACATGGACTCATGAGGTATGAGAGGCAGGAGATGATGTTTGTTCAGGGTTCAGTTTCTGGATGCCATCACCTGGTGACGACTTAAGTCCTCAGCTGAGCCGACTGGCTGCAATTTCTCTGTCCTGAACAGATCTGTTCTGGAATAGATTCAGTTACACTTTCTACTTTATAGATTCACAAAGCCTTAAAGGTATAGTGGAGGATTTTCACAAATCTACATCTTAATTTTAATGCATCCATGCATAAGAAATGGAAATATTAAGAATATTTTTAAAAGGTCCCTTTTCATTCATCAATCAATCCCTAAATTTTCTCATCAGTGTGCGAGTTTAAGGTGATGCACGCTTCTGCGACGGGAAGGTAATTCTCGGCAGGGAGGTATTTCTCTGCATTTACACAAAAAGTGTTAATTTTACGCATCCATGCATAAGAAATATGAAAATATAATAATATGATTAAAAGTTCCCTGTTCGTTCATATTCTAATCCGTTTTCTCATCAGTGTGCGAGAGCGGAGGTATTTCTCTGCAGAGGAATCAGTGAAAATGGGGACGAGCACGTAGCATGGCTTTACGTAAACACATCACCTGACAGTTAGGGGGACCGCTTATTTAGATTGTCCACCCGGAAGGAGAACATCCTCCTGTCAGGAATCCAGTTAGTGTGGTCTGTTTTGTGTCTGTCTCTCCCTCCACCACCAGGTGGTGCCCTGTCATTGTTGGTCCTCCCTGCACCTTGCGGCTCTTTGGATCATTATCTGGAGGAGTACTTAAACAGTGGACTGTCTCTACCTGGACGCCAGAGTCTTTGCCAGTTTTGGGTACTCTAGCCATGCTTAGATTAGCAGAGCCTAACCTGAGTCTTTGTTTCACTGAGTTAAACTGAGTCTTTGTCTCTCTGAGTCTAACCTTGTTTTTTTGTCTTTACCTTTGGCAGGAAGTCCTCCTGCATACTGGATGTTTGGCCTTCTTCCCCTGGAAGGATTGTTTACTGAGTTCACACTGAGCAGGGGAGAAACCTCCACATGTGCCGTTCAAGTCCCTCACGAAAATCCAAGTGAAAGTCCGCTCCGTTGCTCCTCCGGGTCCAAAGAATATTTACCTGTCCACTCTTCAACGCGTCCCCTTTTCTCTGGATCAACCCACACTTACTGGATTCAAAGTGAGAAGAAACCCCCCAAAATCTTCCTAGTTCCTGCTTACCAGTTCTTTGAGTTCCAGATTACCCCCTTCTACCTTTTCCTCAATAAACCTGTTAAACATTTTTCCTGGTTCTCTGAGTAGTTCTCTGCATCTTTGGGTCAGACATTTAAAACACATCATGACACCTCCACTATACGTTTAATTTAAGAGCAGTCAAAGCAGGTAACTCTCTCCCAGGAAACGAACTGGAAGGGAAGCTCTAGGTTAAACGACTTCAGGGGGCAAAAGCTTTCAGAACAAGTTGGTGTTTCCGCCGTTTGTCGGCTTCCTTAACACCCAGAAAATACTTAAGACTTTATCAAATACATTATAAATGAGGAACAACATCTCCAGCAGCAGTTGTTTTTATTCCGGTCAGTGTCCCACAAAATCAGCCAATGAGGAGCCTGTTATTGACTGATAATCTGCTTTATTCTGATAGATTAAAACGTTTACCAAACATTTAGTTTCTATGCTGTGAAAGTCAGAAAAGACATGTTTGTTAATCAATTACTGTAAATAAATCCTGAGGCTTTAATAACTCCACAGATTTGCAAGAAATTAAATTAAAACATTTTTTTAGCTTTCTCCAGAGTCTAAAGAGAACAAGTTGCTCCTTATAGAGGATGAAAAAGGAGTTTGTTTATCAGGCTTTTTTGGTTCCTAACAGCGCCTCCAGCTGGGCTAAAGGTGTAGTGCAGCTATTGTCACAAGATTTTTTGTCACAAGATTTTCCCCAGACATCGTTAGGATAATCTACGCCACTGATTCCCAAAGTCTTGGTCGTCTCAACAAGCATGCAGTCTAAAGATCTGAAATTACTGAAAATTACCATAATTTATCACTTTAAAAATATAAAAACATCTCCTAGTTGTAAAACCTTCTAAACTGGAACCCTCCAATAAAAGCTTTGTATCCAGCAAAAAGCAAAATTCTTTAACTTTATTTACTGGTTTGATTTTTTCCAAAATATTGTTCATGTAGAGAAACAGTTTAAATGCTTTATTCGTTGTTACTGCTTGCATCTGAGCGGCCATCATGGACATCTGTATGGCATAGATCTGAGTTTTCCTTTGGTTGAAGATGCCAGCGGGACAGAAAGAGGCTCGGTGGGAAGTTTATCCTAAAGCTGGATATTCTTCTACTCCCGCTTCATGGTTCAGCCCTGAGCCAAAGGCTGCCACACATTTCTAATTAGAAACAGAAAGCAAAGTAAGCAGAAATCATCTTTATATCAAAACATCCGTCAGATTACATGGTACAGTACAATGGCAAACCTTAACCGGTTTCTTTGCCCATGTTGGTTTATTTACAAACCAGATGGATATGCCTTCACTGAGCTGCCCAGTAAAACAAAAGAAAAAATTACAACCTATGACCAAATGAAGGAACAAAGTTCACCTTTTGGACTCAGCAAATATTTGAGAAGCCAAATCCTTTTTGGCCCCCAGGCCAGTGGGGGCCCTAAGCAGAGGCTTCTACCTTACAGTAGGTGCTCTCCATGATAAGGGGGGGAGGGTTACATTTAGCCCCAGAGTCAACCAGCCAGCGGATTGTTGGCACATCTTCAATATTAGTCACATCCTCACATAAAACTCTGGTTTGAATTTTATACATTTTATACATCAGCAGATTAGCCCCACAAAATAAAATAAGAATACAAAGCTTTTATTTTCTAACGATTATCAGCTGTTTTATTTTACTACAGAAAAAAAAAAATCCCAGAAATGGCTAAACAGTTTTATCAACTGAACAAACATTGAGCTTGTAGTTCACTCAGTCCTTATATTACAGCAACCATTCAGGAATCTGCTATTTCTGATCAGGGAAGAAAGGTTTCTACCATGTTCCTCTTTTCCAGGTGACACGGGCAGCCGATCAGTGATGGGTCCTTTTCCCTTTACTATCAACAGTTTTTTCGTCAACAGTGATGATCCCGCTCTTTTCTTTCATGACTATAATGAGAAGTTACGAGCTAAACGTGGATCTTTTAAGGTGAAAACATGATGACTCATGGGTGTGAGTTTTCGTTGACTAAATAAAAATTAGCAGGTCGTCGGTCAGACATTTAAAATGCATAATTTTGCTGTAATCTGCTAAGCAGAATCAGCCGTGTTGCTGCTTCCTGTTTGGCCACGCGCCCACCTGCGTGCAGCACTGCTTATTCTGCATGACCACAAATGGATCACGACAGCCTGCGGCAGGCTGAAAATAACCCAGAATGAACCAGTACTGTGCGCTGAACTCTGACTAACTCTGATCTTCCAGCTGTGCTTGTGCTGAAATGCGTCTCTGCATTAGCATTAGCTCAGAGTCTGCGCTTTACGCTCCACTCTGATGGTTGGCTCTCAGCAGTATGGCTCTTCCTGCTCTCACTACTTAATAAACTATATGTGGCTGATCATCCTCTGCCAAGCGTAAAAAATCCCTTTGTCTAACTATCAAGATTTTATTTCTTCCAGCTCACAAGAGGTGATGCTAAACATTCTTTAATTTCGACCAAAAGGTATCCCTAAATTATATCCAAAGCAAATATTTCATTGCATTCTGTTTATTTTTGGATAAGATCCAGATGAAAAGGTTCATAGATCTTTGAATATTTCTCTCTCATTTTTCTCATTTCTATTTAAATATGATGTAAATATTTCCTTGTATTTTCATTAAAACATTTAGTCTGTTTCCTTTAAATATTTCAACATTTTAGTTCACATATTCCTTCAGTTAGGTCTAGCTTGCCGTGGGATTACAAGGCAATTATGTAGGTTCTCTCTGTATCTTTTTTTATATCAAACCCTTTTATTTAAATCTACAGTACTTTGACCCCTGCACAGCAGTAACTAAGGGTGAAATTCTCAGAAAGAAAACCAAAATTGCCAAAGTAGAAAGAAGAATGTTTTTGTTCTTTGCTTTTCATAGCGATGCAGATTTTATTGATCTGTGTGTTATTCAGAATTCATAGTAGATCAGGAAGCGTTTGCTTTGGGATGGAAACCTTGTATGTCTAAAGCCATTCCTTTATTGTACATTTTGTTAGCTTGTCTATCTGCTATATTTACCAATATTATGTGTTGAACTAGATCTGCTGTTTTCACAGCTTCGAGACAGTTTTGTATAAAGTAGGGCATTAATTCATAAAAAAGTTCATTTAAATTCCATAAATCAAAGTTTTCTGCCCAACAACAACAATGAACTGCACGGCAGCATTCTATACCAAGCTATTGTAGCACTTTTTTATGAAGTGCAACATAAAACTGACTAAAACTAGACTAAAACCTTCTAGAGTTTTAGTTGACTGAAACTAACTAAAACTATCACATATCGTAGAGATTAAAACATGACTAAAACTAATCGTTTTTGTCCTGAAGACTAAAACTAAGACTAAATCTAAGATGGCTGTCAGAAACAACACTAATTATCAGCAGCCGGAGAGAACACCCAGTTAGCACACAGGGTATCAACCTATCGGATGTACATGAAAACCACAGGAGGCTTATTTGACATGCAATGAACAGACGTATCCCCCTCATCTAATGTTGCCATGGGCAACCGCACCTATGACCCATTGCAATAATCTCTCCAATGATGGGAACATTGTTTAATCTGGGAATTATTCTCCCTCTGAGGTCTGCAGGCTACAGTATGAGACCTTTTATGATTAGACATGAGACCAAAAACAGGACGATGCAAAGACAGGGGAAGTGGAGGGAAAGGAGGAGCTTAAGGCGGGTCATCAGGTCAATCCTCCGTGGAAGCAGGTCAGGTGACGGAGCTGTTTGTGGAATCTCACAGTAAACGCCAGTCCAGCCCTGGTAGCACTGGCAGGTAAACTTTTGCCTCATGTCCATAATGTCTTGGCTGTTGAGGTGGCCCCGTACCTCAAAGCGGGGGCCCTCGGGTGCCGGATTGTGGTGAATATGAAAGTAGCGTGGGTTCAGGTGAAGGTAAGAATCGGAGTCCAAGCTCTTGCGGACGCATCGTCCATTCTTCTTGCAAAGTGCTTTGCTGCAGAGTTTAGCTGCTGAGGTGACGTTGATGACATAATGTCCCAAAGGACCATCGATGTACCGCTTCACAGTGAGGCAGTTCCTCTAAGGAGCAGCAGAAACAGAGAATCCAGATCCTTTACTTCACTTTGAATCATTCAGGTCAATTCAAACACATGTCTTCTCAATGCACAACACAATATCAGATTTGGACAAATACTAATAAAAATGCTTTGTTCCAAGCCATCAATTTAAGAATCACTTTCACATTTTTCAACCTTTACCTTTGATCGAGCGTACTCTGATGACCCCCACAGGACAACACCTGATGCTCCCAAGGCAGCGCTCTCCCCGATGGTATGAACCAAGTCCCTCTTTAACAGAAAGAAAGATTCAGTTTGCTTCAGCTCTTTCAGATTAATTTTAATATAATCTCAGGAAATCTATCAGATTGCTTTGACCTGTAGCAATTTCTCCTTTAGAGGTTATTTGCAGCAATTCCTCAAACTAAGCTGGGAGGGAGAATAACAGGAGAATATGTTTCCCTTTTAATGGGAACAAAATCTAATCTACTCCAAATGTATTCATCCAGTACTTAAGAAGATCCTCCAAAGAGAAGAGAAGTAATGTAGAGTGAAAAACAATCAGCCAGAAAACAATAAATAGAATAATGTGAACATTGAACAGACCGCTTAACCCTGAACAAACCTTTTTGCTTTTTAAACCGTATAAATAGATGCCTTACAGCCTAAGTACCAGGCAGCATTTAGAAATCCGTCGGTTTGGGTTAAAAATGGCTGACTGGCTCTCTGTGGCAATTGGCTCATCCTGGATGTGACCTCGGCGAGGCAGAACTGACGTCAGCAGCTCTTCCATGGGCAGCAGTGGTTTCCTTACGTACAATAAATTCAGTGATTTTCGTTTAAAATAAGGTAAAAATAAATGATAATGATTTTTCATTCCTATATATCTATAGAAAGTATGAGAAATGCATTCAAATTAGATAAATAACCTTGCAGTATCTGTCCAGGCTACTTTATTGATATTTCATTAGTTTTGTGTCGGTCAGCAAAATTACATCAAAGCTAACAGATAAAAACATTCTTTTGGAAGAGGCAAATGATCAAAGAAAAGAAAGTCGATCAAAACTGGAGAAAATGCAGATTATAAAAAAGTCTTTATCGCATTCTCCGTGTTTCTGTGGGTCGCAAGACTTCAAAGATATTATTTCTTGTTTATCAAGAGTGCTTGGTTCAGCTATTTATGAGCACATATGTAGCTGTCAGACAGCTCTACCAGTGGTTCTGGACCAGTGGTTCTGGACCAGCGGTTCTGGACTTGTATTTCTAGACCAGTGGTTCTGGACCAGCGGTTTCAGTGGTTCTTATGATTTACGATTCCTGTTATTTGGACACTACATTGTAAAAGTAGAAGAGTAGAGAAATGACAAGAGAAGAAAAGGGAGAAAAGTGAAAGAAAAAAGAGACAGAAGAGAAAGAGAGAGATTAACAAAAATTCATCATCTGCATAGAGAAGAAAATCATCTGCAAAAGAAGAAAACAACCAACTGATATAGAACTACAGATAGGATGCAGCAACACCTCGATAGTCTATACAGTATTAATCAATACTGAATACTGAATGTATAGATGGGTAGCTGAAGATAAAGATTGCCTGCTGAAGCTCCTGTAAAACCTTGACTACTTTGCCTGATGTACGGAAAATCTGGCAATAACACTACCATATGTTTGAAAAGTTATGGGTACACTGAAGCACACTGAAACGACAGGAAATTCGTCTGCCATCCGTGGGCCGTCAGTTCCAGGTCAGTTCTCTGATGGTTGACATACGTTCAGTGTCAGTTCCTCATCAGTCGTGGCGTCTAGCTTATCCTAAACCTCTGGGATAAGCTTAACTTATCCCAGAGTGCATAACTTCTGCCTAACTTATCCAGAACTTCTCTCCAACGCATATCAACGTATCTGACGTGTTCCAGACGAGCGCTGAATGTGTTTCTAACTTCCAGCTACTGTATAATGGCGTATTGGTAGCGTTTTGGTATAAAGGAAGTTCACAGGAGGAAACCGTCAGTTCTCCTCCAGACTTCATCCCCATCATAGGGTGAGCCAGAAGGTGAGTGTGATGGATCCTCCCTGCGTTCACGCCCACCACCAACAAACTTCCTAGCAGACATGACAATCAATCTGCTGCCACCAAAAAACTTTTTTTATTTTTTTTATTTGTTCTTTGTAAGGGCGTGAACCGCTGCCGGCCGCCTGATCAATGCCCAAACAGCCGCCGACATCCTCTGTAATTGTAGATACATCAGGTATCCTCCAAATCCAAACAGGAGAAATCCTAGTATCATTAAAGCAAAAATCCATACACCATCATCCAAGCTTTCCAGGAGTCTAATATATATCCCATGAAGTATGTCCCGGCAGGACAGGACAGGTCCCCTTTTCCTTGTCTTCCAGTTGACAAAATTTGATCAATTGCATTGAGAGACCAGCTGACTAGATCCATTGTATAAGTTCAGGTGATATGAAGAGAGGGCTCAGAAAAGACGAGGCTAAGCAAAGCAGAGACAGAGCAGGGCGATCAGGGAGTTGCAAAGCAGCAGGAAATGCGACTGCCTCCTTTAAGATTCAGAAAGGTATCCCCCTGTTTGATGCTAGTGCTAAAAGATTTACTTATTTGTCAAACAGATACCAAAGTATAATGCTACATTCAGATCAAAAGCAACAAAGGCAGCATAAGCAGCTAGTTTACATGCAAAGTCAATGGTTGACACGCATCAAGGTGCAGCGTAAGGTCCCACAGCGCATTTTGAACCGCAGGCGCAGGACATCTTAGCAGCTGAAGCAGCGCGTCGTGAGAGTTTGAGCATCTGACGCGTGCAACACGCTGTAAACGCATCTGCTGCTGGAGTTGGTAAAAATTGAACTTTTGCTGCTCAACGCGCCCGGTCAAGCAATTTGAGAAGTTAACCCG